TTAAAGATTATACCAGTTCTAAAAAAAACGGGGGTAATTCAACCAGGCCGGCTATGTTGTCTATATGCAATCAGAAAATAGCACATAAAAGCTCCCAAAGACCCGGAAGACCCCTAAAACCCCCAGTTTTTGGCATGCTATGGAGGGTAGACGTTTATAAACAGCTAGAGACTGATTCAACTCAGAAATGGCGATCGATATCTTAATATGAGATATATCGCTGCCGTCTGTCAGGATGTGTTAAGAACATTTCTGAGTTTTACGGTACAATGATATTTTGCCTGATTACAAATGACAATGGAGTCCTCCATAGAATACCATGCTTATGTTACAATATACATAAGTATAAGGTTGTAATTATATCCGTAATAATTCACTGCATGAAATCCTATATTTAAACACACCTGAAATCTTCCGTAAAGGTACGCACGAGGAAAGAGACTGAACCTTCCTGCATGTTTTAAACCTTTCCGCATGCTTTAAGGTATGAATTTTGTGCAATGTCTTTGCGTAGTGCAGTGTTGAAGACCAATTCAAAGCTAGAAGCAAACAAAAACAACAAACAAACAAACAAACAAACAGACGTGTGCTTGCATGATACAAACAAAACTGTTGGTAAAATAGGGCTACACGTACAAAAACAATCATCAAGTAAAAAAAATAGAAGAACTGTATTGCACGACAATTGTACAAGGTACAACGTACGGCAACAACTATTGAACAAAGTACAAAAAGAAAGGTCATAGAATGAAAACTAACATCATAATTACTGAATATCAAGAGATGATACTGTGTACAATCAAGTAGGGCTAATCAGGAGTTTCACTGCATTTTTCTAATAACAAAACAGTCTTTTATGTATTTACCGACCTTTGCATTGTAAGAGTTGTTGCCTTTGAATATCAATATATGTATATTGGCACTGAGCCTGCTGAAATCTACTGTAGAAATACAGTGTGACGTGGTTTCATTGATGCAGAAACGTACGTACGCCAAAAATGTACGATGCCTGCTTCTTGTCAATTAGAAGAGCACACATCGGATGACGTGACACGTTACAGATGGCTCAATCAAAGACCGGCTACGTCAGGATTTTTCTTTAAGCCTCGGCTAATGTTTCTTCAATCGATTTCTGGGCCCTCCCGTGGCGTCAACCTAATTTAGAAACCAAACACTCAGCATTGCAAAATGAAGACTAATCAAAAATAAATCTTGGCTTCGGATTTCGGAATACTGTATAGGCATTGTGGATAAATGTGGTACATTAAGATACAATTCCGCCTTCTTGTTCATGAGATTATTGAAGGCTATCCCCGACAAAAAGCACAAGCCGGAAATATATTCATTATTTTTTCTTTAAAAAATCGTATGCAAGAAAAGTTTTGAATTGAGTATCACGTAATACAAATACGTTTCCATTAAGTTTCCAGCATAGCAGAGGATCTCAGTGGCTCTCAGTTTGAAGGGACAGTGATGGAGGTGCCCAATAAGATTTGATGTTTGCCGTGTAATAATGCTATACCTTGTTCATGGATAATTCTTCACTTGAGATGGCGGCAATACATGTTATAAATGACGGGAGATGCGGAGTAATAGGCCCGCCGACGGCAGGATTTCACTTTGCCTGCAAATTGGCGGCTGGGGGATGCGCGAGCCGCGGCGAGATGACGTCAGGGAGCCGAGCCAAAGGCACGCGTGTGCGTCATCACGGGGAGGTCAGGCCACAGGTCACCGGGAGGCGATGGGCTGGAACTCGCCTGCGAGCCCGCTTTTGTTTCAGAGGCGAGAGAGGCGAATAGGTTTTGCCGCTAATAACCGAGGGCAACGGTTGGAAAGATTCTCCACCAGGTTACGTTTATATTAAGATATCTGAGTGCACAAAATACAATTGTATCTCGTCAGGGAAACTATACGTGACTCTCAAGAACTGGATACACTCAAGTAACTGGATAGATTTTGAAAACTGTCAGTAACTGACAAAAAGTAGCGGATGCTTTAAGCTTCTTGAAACGTCTGGCAAAATTTGGTCAGCTGCTTGAGTGAAAATTTTCTTGTTTTATCTCGTTGCCAGGCTATGTTTCAGAGGCGAGAGAGGTGAATAGGTTTTGCCGCTAATAACCGAGGGCAACGGTTGGAAAGATTCTCCAACATGTTACGTTGATAGTATTAAGACAGTCGACTTGTTCTTACAAAAAGTGTGGAAAAGATTGCAGCGCATCACGAATAAGTAAATTGTGACATTTGTCTATGCCTATAGCTTTTTTTGTTTCAGAGACGAGAGAGGTGAACAGGTTTTCCCGCTGATTAAGGGCAACGGTTGGAAAGATTCCACCATGTTACGTGCCTTTTTTATGTTAAGATATTTCTTTAGCAAGCAGTTTTGTTCAAACAACAAGTGTGGAAAAGGTTGAAGCGCATTGCGAATAAGTAAATGGTGACATTTCTCTGTGCCTATATGCCCTCGTGTATGTTTTGAACCTAGAAACTTCTTAAAACAATGACAATGACAATGACAATGACAATGACAATGACAATGACAATGACAATCAAATGTAATTTCAGGGCAACAAAAGAAAAATCCTCTGAATGAGCAAATCTGTATGATATTGATCTTTACTGCCATTTCTCAGCACATTTTCGTCATCATATCATACTTGAAGCGCTTGTAATAGCCCTCAAAGAAGCTATATGAGGAGCACCTTTATATTTTGGTACCACCAAAAATAGCTAGAACCAGCAACCGTCTGGCGGCCGTCTGGCAATTTTCAGATTTTTGCCTCACAGATATCAGTATGCTTTGGAATAGGACTCAAGTTGATTCATGGCCAGAAAATTGGCTTTGAAAATCACGTTTTCTGCTATGAAAGCGCTTTGAATGTCTTTCATTTCTGCTTGTGTATTCCGAATCACGTCTTGGTAAACCGTACATATATATCCCTAGTCGCCTGCGGATGGTGTGATTCGTGCCCGTGACGAGGGCAGCGGAGGTCACCAGTGCCAGGCCCTCGGGGAGAACTTCTGTTTTTCACCGTGACATTTACGACCATCTCCCGTACGACTGGATTGTTCCTCCCAGACAAAACCGAAAGCAAATTACACGGAATTACTGACATTTGACACCGGGGAAAGTCAGTGTTACGAAGGCTTCTTATCATCATGGAATCTGCACCGCCCCAAGCGACGAAATACTCGTTGAATATATAATGGGTGAATAATCTGCCTGTATTATCAACAAGCTGCCGGGTGTTGTGGCCCTACGACCATAGGTCATTGCTCTGAACTGAACTGATTATCAAATATGACTGCTTACTGCCATTCGGTCTAATAGCTCTTATCGTAATTCACGTCTCTATGGTGCTGTTTCCCCTCACGGGTGCCCTGATACTATCAAATACGATATTTTAATATCGCATCATTATTTCCCACTAGGGTAAGTCAATCTGAACGTGCGACAAAGGTGCCTAATATTGCATATTTTCACACAAAGGTTTCAGGCCAGTTATGTACAAAAAAAGAGTTTCCTTTCCTTTGCAATCGTCGGTGACAGTTCTTTGGAGCAATATCTACAGGAAAATGATTATTATAACAATTGAACGCGCGTTTCATAAAATTGTATCTTGTCAGGAAAAACTATGTGACTCTCAAGAACTTGATACGCTCAACCGGATAGATTTTGAAAATTGTCAGTAACTGACGAGAAGTAGTGAATGCTACATGAAACGTCTTACAGTTTTCAAAATCTATCAGTTTATCTCTCATTACTTGGATATCTAAGTATCATCGACGACTCTCCACGTACTCACGTAGTACAATTATACACCTCATGAAGCACACAAGGTCTCCTTGTTTGTTTTTCCTCATAATTTATTCTCTGTACTTGTTTCTAGCTTGAAATATTCGGCCTTGAACTACCCACGAGAACTATAATTGCAGGAAAAGTTTTGGGACCACCCTACCATGCAGCCAATAGTAAGTAGTTTGTCCATACACCCACTGGCTACGTCAACACGTCATCTATAAACGTCTTAGTGCTGATATGGGTGTAGTCATCTTTCCTTCCTCAAGGAAATATCGGACCCCGAAGTCAGCGCCGGTTTTTATGGTCAATAAAAGCGTTGTTGCAGCTCCTTGCTTTGACTTGTTGGAACACGCGCGCTTGTATATCTATCGCATCGTCCAAAGAGCACCAGAAGGCCAGGATGCAGTTAGCAAGCCCTCGTATCCATGATATGCAGGGCTACTAGACAGGGCATCTTGATAGGGAAAAATAAAATATAAAAAAGTACAAAGGGCACGTGAGAATAGGTAATTGACCATGTAGAACTGCAAGCTGCATACGAATTTAATTTACACGTGGATTATTGCAGCTTCTTTGGGGCTTTAAAAGGGGGGAAAGGGGTGGGGCATTTAGGGAGACTTGTTTAAGGCATCATATTTCATCTGCACTGGAGACAACCTCAGCCCATGGGGCTTGGCCTGCGTGGGCGTGGGGACGAAGGGGGGTTGAGTAATACATGCTCTTCGACTGCACTCCAGCATAGGCAGAATTAGGAAATGAGACTATGATATCAATAATGGGAGAGTGAAGAATAGGGGTGAAAACTGTGTCAGCAATAACGAAACGAGGCCTTGAGTTGATTTTAAAAAGTCTCCAGAACAACGCAGGACTTTTAAGAAAATGTTAGATAATGAGCCACGTGACCACTAGGTACAAAAACGAAGGTTCTCGCATCAAAGGAATTTTGGTCCGAGAGAAAAACAAGCGAGTAAAATTGCCCACTAGTGTCCTATTTGTCTTTAAGGCAGCGGCGCGGTGTAAAGATGCATTTGCGCAAGTTTTGATACGTTCGGTAAGTCAGATACGCCCACACACCCACTGTAAGTGATGGCAGATAGCAAAAAGTTCAGTTTGAGAGATGTGCGCATATCCTACGGACATCCGGGTCACACAGAACATCCGGGCTTTTTTTTTCGAGAAAAAAAAACATCCGGGTACTTACGAGCTGGTTCTTTGCATTCCCTCGTTTCATAGAAAATGCGATGAAAGTGTCTATGGCAGGCCTCACTGCGTCCTGTTTTAACTGGAAAAGAAGTAAGAAAAAAACTTTGATTACTTGATGTAATTGATGATACCAGCTTAAGTTCTGTGGAGTCTTGTTACATGCTCGAACAGTAGTACTTATACCAGGAAAATGTCAGTGCAGGAATATAAAATTTAGTACAACAGCCATTGCTAGAACGCACATGTGAGAGAACTGTTAGCAACCCAAGCAAATCGTGTTCATGTAGAATATCAAAGACTTCTCTCTTTGTAACAGCAATGTCAAATGTAACATTCCATTATAACATATATACATGAATTGAAGTTAGATTAGTACACTAGTAGAAATAGTTTATAGTTATTAAGTATTATTTGCCATACATTGTATCCAATGCAATTGTTGCGCAATAAACTTGACTTGACTCTTTTCAGTGGATAACTTCATCAGTGGTATAATAGACTTTGGCAATAGCTGTGATGCTGATGTCTTTACTGGTTATCATATTCTTTAATCAATGATTTGCTAAGTGGAAATGTTCTAGTGGTCCAAGATGGCATTGCTCTCTTGGAACACGAGTTCAGGTACCGAACTCAAAGATGAATTGTTCTCAAAATATCAAACCCCAAGGCGAGCTATGGGATGCGATATACATAATTGATATGACAATGATATACACGCACACACACCAAACCCGACAAAAACCAGGTCATTACTCCACGTTGCCTTTTAAAATCAGGCGAGACGTAACGCTTAGTGGCGTGCGGTAAACGGGAACAAGACAGTCTGCCCTGTGTTGTGTTCTTAATAGCATACTTCGGACAGATAAAGACATTCAATGCAATTTCAGGGCGGCAAAACTGGAATATTCTGATTAAGGCAATCTGTATGATATTGACACATACTGCCCCGCATTAGAACATTTGCATCAGGATTTCATACTTTGAGCATTTAAAACTGCACAGAAACAAGCCCCATGATGAGTCCTTTGTTTTATGGGTGGTACACAAAAAACAACCGAGGATCTCACCAGTAACATTTTTCAGTCACAGTTTTCAGCAATTTTGCTCCATGAGGGCCAATGTACATCGGGATACTGTTGTTTCAATTTAGTATGTAGATAAGTGGCTAGAATGTTGACTTTGAAAAATCTTGTTTTCAGCCCCTAAAACTGCATTGGATACCTTTAAGAAAGAACGAAGACAACGTTTAAGCACGATTTTTGCAGATGATATTTCATATCACACGCCATTGTCATATCCCAATAACAAGCCGAACAGACACATCAAACTGGTCTCTCTTAAAGTCAGAATTTTTACGATTCAGAGCTTGGCCAAAGCAGCTATTAGCATTTTTGTCATGATGCAGCCATTCGGCAACTTGTTGTATCATCCTCCATGATATGATGATATCGACAAGAGTGAAGATCTCTTCACTTGATTCAGAAACACCTGCGGTGAGGATAACAGGACATGTCGATAATAGGATACCTCCCTCAGAGCTAGCATCAAAATGGTTTCGGGAAGGAGAACGAAACACCCATTAGAAGGGAATCGACTGTGTTAGATCGCCCGATCCTAATACTTATTGACCCCCACCTACAATTACTGAGATCTCGTTAGAAGTAGGGCAAGGCAGTTGAATATCCATTTTAATGCAATAAAGCAATTTCTCGGAACTCCGCATCAATTATTCAACAATTGGGTACATTTTGCGACGACATGTGACGGAATCTGGCTCGGTTTCAAAGAGATATATGATTTCGGAGGCATCGCAATTTACTGTAATACGTACACGAATACGTGTCGTGAGGTAATTTTGATACCAGGTCGTTTCCAGTGCAGAGATATGTTTCTCCGTATGTTCGGTACTTGACGAGGCAAAGTTTATATCGCCGTCACTAGACGGCTGCTAATATCGCTTTGGATGATGGAAGAGGCTTTAGCTGCGAACAGATCCACCCGAAACAACAATTAAATGACGTTTGCCTTGACGCAAATCCAGGGGAAATGATGCGAGAGGCTATAAACGAGTATCAATGCTGAAACGCACCACTTCCCGCAGAACAATTTGAACCGCCCTGACAAATAAGTTTTTCCTGGGCGCTCATACAGCCCGGCAGACTGCGGACCAAGTGTACAATCACGATGGGGCAATACATCTGAGCAGATAATGGCACTTGTTCCTCTGGTGGCCACATGTACACTTACTCCTCGACATGTCCTCAGTTGGCATTGCCGGAAGCACGCATGAATGTAGCGGCGTTAATTCATCTTTTTTTTCTTCTTACCTCCATGAAAAATGGAAGTATTGTTTTGGTCTGTGTGTGTGTGTGTGTGTGTTTGTGTGTGTGTGTGTGTGTGTGTGTGTGTTTGTTTGTGTGTGTGTGCCTGTGTTTGCGCATGACCCATAGGCCAGGTTATAATGGATATGTTTGGGTTCAGTCTGTCCCAGAGGGAGAAAGTCATTTATCACGTCTACATCTGGTAGCTCTTGCTGTGTTTTTCGTTACATGACCTCCTTGACAGCTGGTGCTGCTTCCCTTGTACGATGAACAAAGACCTGTAGACACCATGGTGAATGAGAACAGAACACAGTCATCCTCACACAAGATCTAAATATTTCACGGAGGTCTGAGATTTCCGAATTCTTTGTTTTCAAGTGTTGTCATCACATTAAAATTTTGTCGCTATCTTGTTAATGCCAGTAATATAATATCAGCAAATGTCGAGGATTGTATAGTATTTATATAACCATAAAATCATACCCAGGCGTCCTTAGTTTTAACTCTAATAATCGCTGTCGTTGATGATTAAGTTCAGTGTTCAAAACCCTACAAACTGATGATCTAAACGTACTCTTTTTTGTGACCTAATTGGTTAATCAATTAATTAGATAATAGTATTAAGATTGGGTAGCTTTGTTTGTTTGTTTGTTTGTTTGTTTGTTTGTAAACAACATTTATTCTCGAGAACGTCAAATCGGTCTGCACTAGTACTGCGACCGCTTTTCATTGAGGTCGAGAGGGAAGAGGTAAGGGTCATACAAAATATATAACGAAGATATAATTTCCTTTATAACGTCATTACTAAATCTATACACATACACATACATGGTACAAAATGCATACATGGGAGTGACGTAGGAAGGTAAGATGTCAATACAAGTTAGGTCGATGACATTATTAGTTTCTTCTTAGTATCTTGAATGTCAAGTCTTAGTGATTTACATGCAAATTGAGAAGCTTACGTAAGTTAGGCAGAAAATCAGTAATAAAGATGCCGTCTCCAACAACTAAGTGGGTGCAAACATTCATTCAGTTCTGTCTAGTCCTCTTAACGTTGGTTCACTCTTAGTGGAAGAATTCTTGACGGATAGAAAAAGTTAATCTATTGATATAAATGTAATACAAGAGCAATGGCCGTAGAGATTTTTTTTATGTTTACCGAATGAAAACATATTGTTTTTACTCAGTTTCCTCTTCGTTTTCTTTCGTTCCGAACACTGACCTCTGACCTGGTCAGCCAGGCTGTCTCTCACCAATGATAACTGGTGTTGGGGTACATCATGTTGCAATTTTGTAGCAGGAGGGATTTAGACTGCTGTCACCATATATACCGGCCGACACACAGGATGCACATACGTTTACATACTGCGCAGTGCGATCCACATGCTGCAGTGATTGGTGGGAACCTGACGTTGTAAGATGACAGTCCCTACATGACAAACGTCAGTTAACAGTTTTTTAATCCTCCGTGTACTTAAGCAGTCTTTATAAACATATTGCCACGCGTAGATTTAAGACAGAGAATCCATTAACAACTTTGCTGTTCTTTTTTTTCTCGGAAACAAGGAAGGTCGTGTCTTTTGGGGGAATGAAGGCATCCAAAGCAATTTCAGGGCGGCAAAACAAATAAAACACTCTGGATGAAGAAATCTGTCTGATATTGACATTTACTGCCATTTCTTCGAGCACATTTTTTATCATAATGTCGTACTGGAAGCGTTTGAAAAACAAGCTACGTGAGGCGTCTCACCTATAATACAGCCTACGATACATAAAAATGCAACAGATATCAGTATGGTATGGGGTATGTTAGGTTACAACTTACTACATTAAAAGAGTGACCATAACATTGATGTTACTCATTTGCCTTCCTGAATTTGCATTGGATGCATTTAGGGAAAGGGTTCGTTTTCCTCTACGTCTGCTTGGGGTTGACAGCTCGGTCCTTCTGTGGGTTAATGAGTCATGTCTGGTGATCTGGTCTGGTATAGTCTGGATTAAACTGCATCAAACCAGTCCAGACCTGTCTGTCTGTCACGTATAACTCCACGTCAGGACTTCAGCTTCCAACGACCTCGCCCTTTTTATTTAGGAAGCCTTACCACATTTGTGGAAGGATTGACATAACAGGTGACTACCAGCTCTTCGAAATGTCAAACCTGAGACAAATATAGGTTTTAACCACTCACGCCGGGAAGGACTACTAATCTTTTGATAGGCGTGGCTCTCCTTAAGTACGGGACCTCCGGTTTCACGTTTCTGAGAGAATAGCGAAGCATTCTGAAAACGGCTTGTGTCGTAGATGAGAACGCGTGCAAGCGGGGATGACCACTTCAAGGAACCCTATCTGTAAAACCACATTGTGTGGGGTCGTGTGGCGTAGTGGCAGGGTTCTTGACTCGGAACCAAGAGGTCCCTGGTTCGAGTCCTGACATGCCACCGATCTTGTGCCTTTGGGAAATTTTACACGGCTTTCCTCACTTCGTTCAGGTGAATAGAGTATTGTATTGTCACCTGTGTTGGTGGTGGTATTAATATAAGTTGAAACTAGAAAGGCCAATATTTGCTTTGGAGCAAATACAGCGATGGGTTCACCACATTTTACGACATGGCAGGGAAAGAATGGGAAACACAAGGGAAAACAATGATTTACATTGATATAACTATAATATGAAGTAAAATACAACTAAAACAACAGTTGGATAGCTATTCCCTACTTTATTGGTTAGGATTTTTAATTGCATAATGCAAACTG